GTCCTTGCGGTTTGGCCTCCAGTATGAGTTTTTCCGCAGAAAAATAATAATAATAATAATAATAATAATAATAATAATAATAATAAAAAACGGAACAGATACAATAGGGTTCCATGCTCCGATGGAGACATGGAAACGCTGCTGCTTTGCAGCTGCGTTACCCTGCTTCCTCGGGCTTGGACCCCTAAATATATGAGCTGTTGAAAATAAATGTTATTGCTTTTGARTGTTTAACACTGAAGCTGACCGTCTTTCTGCATTGGTGAAAAATGTTTTCTGTCAGTGGCAATGTGGCGACTACACCCTCTGTTTGTCAGTTTATTTATACTCCCCCCTGTCAGAGCTGCAAGTGTGATTTCCTGCAGAAAGACACTGGAATGAAGGGCAAGYGGGTAAATGATCTTTGTAAATGTGACAGTGTGAGGCTGTCTGTGTTCACTATGATTAATCTAAGTATTATTTCTGTAATGACTACATATTTGTGTTTTCCTCTATCCACAGTATTGGATGAATCTCTTTACGCTGATGTTTCCTTTAGAGATGTCATCTTTAGTGTCAGATTTCTTGGGAGTTTTGTTTCCCACTGCTCATTCCTCTGTGTTTATGAGTTGTGGTAAACAGTTTAATTCAATAATGTGACACAGAGATGTGCTGTGAGAATATTACTGCTCATGTGGGAATTATCCTCCCTCCCTCTCTTCCTTCCTTCTACATTTACTGCTGTCTCCCTGATAGACCCCTCCTTTTCCTATTATGACCACTGACCACTCTCATTCCCACACCCTCTGAGGACTCTCTGTGGTTACTTCTGATGCCTGTTGTGTCTCTCCCGAGGGTACAGATTGTTCTGGAATCTGGAGCAAGGCAGCAGTCTAGTAACAGATAACAGCATCTCTAAAACTTGTGTGTTTTTAAGTTTCTAATATTTATTTTTCAGAGGGAAAAAAAAGCTATTTTTCAGATTTTATTACAGCAATTACCAATAAGATTGAAAACAGAAAGATAATTAACTACTGTTTATCCACATAAAAGTGAATATTATGCCAAAAAAAGATAAATATTTATTAGGAGCAGTACAGTAATATGAAGCATACCTTTACAGAAAATAAAGTGAAAATGTGCTGAAACATTGCTAAAACTGCATAGTGGCCTACATCTGTCTGCTTTATATTTTTACCTTTTATATTATTGTTCTGTTTAACTGTATGCTTCAAAATGAAGACTTGAATACTCAAGCTTGTAGTCAAATTTCAGCACGTTTAATAAACTCATCTTATTGTGTGGTTTTTGTCCAAGCCTTTCAGGCAAGGGAATACTTGTCCAGATAAGATAACAAGAAATTCCTTACTGTGGAAAATAATCATCATGTTTCCAAAATTAGATTTGTGAAGAATTTATTTCTTCCCCTCATCTTGTTATTTATTTAACATTAAATATCTTGACTTGGCAACAACAAAAAAATCCTCTCTTTTAGTAGGGAAAGGAAGAACTGTTTCAGTCATTCAACACTTTTTTAAACAATCGGAGGACAACAGTGTCTTTGTTTTCCATCTTTCACTTGACTGAAAAGAGGATCTCGGTCAGTGGAAACAGTTTGCATATGCCAGATATCATTTAGATTTGTTACAGTAGCCTCTCAAAAAAGCCATGAGAAGTTTCCGTCTACATAAAGGAGGACAGAGGAAGGACTGTGCAGTGACAAAAAGAGGAGTAATTGTAGGGGAGGTTTACTGAGCGTGCTTATCTTCCCTCTTGGATCTCATGGTCCCGTTATCGTTGAACTTCCTGACATCTGTTGCATAAAACAAACTCCTTGTGTTTTCTCTCTTTTTGTATTTATTTAGCGGTATAAACATGTTGAATTGTTTTTWAATAGGAAAATAGATGTACAACAAAGGCTTTGTATTTGATCATTTATTTGAATGTTTTTTTTGGTACATAATTGGCACTTCCTGTGTAATTAAGCTGATAATGATGTTTGTGAAATTGTAACTATGGTACCAAAATCAGGAGCAGATAATTGGAGGACGATTTGCAAACAAATTGAGTTTGAGGTCAAGTCTTGTCTTCTGCTTATGTTTTCATAATATTTCAGTAAGCTCTTGTATACAGCAGAATAAAGATGTGTAAAATAAAGGACTCACTGTCKTTTAGAGTTCAGTTTCATAGGCACTGTTTAAAATTATCTGGACATGGGACGTACTCTGGGAAAGCTCAGATTTCTATGATTTGATCAATAAAACGTTTTATGGTACAKTGAGCACAGCAGGTACAACTCTTGAACAAAGCCTTATAGCAGTTCATTGGTTTCTATCTGTAATTTACTGTCTTTATTTTTAATATCAAAGATCACTGTAAGCTAGACTCCTGTGGGGGGTACTCCGAGAGTATGGGGTACCAGGCCCGTTGATACCGTCTGTTAGGTCCCTGTACGACCGGTGCCAGAGCTTGGTCCACATTGCCGGTAAGTGGGACTCGTTTCCGGTGAGACTTTGACTCCGCCAAGGTTGCTCTTTGTCACCGATTCTGTTCATAACTTTTATGGACAGAGTTTCTAGACGCAGCCAAAGTGTTGAGGGGATCCTTTTTGGTGACCATTTTGCATCAGCAATGTGGCCATAAGACCACCTTTGGATGGAGCCTGAGTGATTGGCTCTGAAATCATTCTCTTGTCTTGATGGTGTTCACACATGTGCACCTTTTTGCAGATGATGTGGTTCTATTGGCTTCATTAGATCGTGATCTCCAGCTCTCACTGGAGCGGTTCACAGCWGAGTGTGAAGCGGCCGGGATGAGGATCAGTGCCTCCAAATCCAAGACCATGGTCTTGAGCTGGAAACGGGTGCCTTCTCCGAGTCGGGGAGGAKGTCCTGCCCCAAGTGGAGGAATTTAAGTATCTCGGGGTCTTGTTCACGAAKGAGGGAAGAATGGAGCGGGAGATGACAGACTAATTGGTGCTGCATCTGCAGTGATGCAGGTGCTGTACCGGTCTGTCATGGTGAAGCGAGAGCTTCGCCTTCTGGCTCAGCTCTCGKTTTACTGGTCGGTCTATGTTCCTACCCTCATCTATGGTCACAAGCTTTGGGTAGTGACCAAAAGAACGAGATCGTGGATACAAGTAGCTGAAATGAGTTTCCTCTGCAGGGTGTCTGGGCTCTCYCTTAGAGATAGGGTGAGAAGCTCGGTCATCTGGGAGGGACTCAGAGTAGAGCCGCTGCTCCTCCACGTCGAGAGGAGCCAGTTGAGGTGGTTCATCTGGTTAGGATGCCTCCTGGACGCCTCCCTGGTGAGGTATTCTGGGCACGTCCCACTGGAAGGAGACCCAGAGGAAGACCCAGGACACACTGGAGGATCTATGTTTCTCAGCTGGCCTGGGAACAACTTGGGATTCCCCCGGATGAGCTGGCCCAAGTGGCTGGGGAGAGGGAAGTCAGGGTCTCTCTGTTTTAGGCTGCTGCCCCCGTGACTCGAACCCGGATAAATGGAAGAAAACGGACGGATGGACTGTAAGCTAGAATGTTTCATTTTAAATAATGTTCTCAGTGTTTGTTTTTCCCCTAAGATTACTGATTTGTAAATTAGTTGTCAGTTCAGCTAAATTCTCAACATGTTTATAAGTGACTCAGAGCATATTTCCATTGCATCAGCAAAATGAATGTGGCCATGAGACCACCTTTAGATGCAGCGTGAGTGATCGGCTCTGAAATCATTCTCTTGTCTTGATGGTGTTCACACATGTACATTGTACTTTCCTCTTAGATCACACCAGCTAGGGTGAATACCCTGAATAGCCCCTTTATGTGAGCTGATTTCTATGCTCAGGTATTTTGACAGCTCACCACTGCAGGTGGTCAGAAAATTGGCTCTAATTTAGCCCTCGGTGGGTGGTCGGTACAGTGTGGTTATCAGAAGCCAAATAAGCAGACAGTTTTAGATCTGGATGCCTCTYTTAACTAATGATTGTTTTTGAAGCTTTAGAGTAGACGGACTCTGAGGGTGATTATTTTACTTTCTCTCTTGTCTCTGTCTAATAAGACCTTGTTTTTTCCTGAGATGGGTGGGTTTATCAGGCACGCTCTTTTCTGTTGCATAGTTCACTTGTGGTTTGGTGTCATGCTCCGCAGGCTTCATTCCTCTCATTTTTCACCACGAAAGCTGAATACCATCTCAATTAAGACTTTTAAAAGTCACTTCTGATGGCTTTACATTTTTACTTTCTGCAGTTTCTAGTAATAATATTTAAAATTAATATTAAGGGGTGTCCTGATACCAGTTTTTGTCAAACTGGGTAGGTACAAGTATGAGTACTTTGTTTTGGGTACACGCCCATACTGAGTACCAACACAGAGTACTTTCTGAGTTAGAACTTAACCATTACACAGTGATTTTAAAATACACATTAATTCTAAACGGCTCTCATTTCTTAGGTCTACAGACCCTCTGACTATTAAATCAAATATACAACATGAATTATATGATATGTTATTGAGGTACTTTGTATGATTATGAGTACGTACTTACTTAATTGCATTGGGTCCAAAACCAGTATCAGTATCAGGACACCAATACTTAATGTACATCTTAAACAATGTCTTGTCATACAGGGATTTGAGAGTTCATTGTTGCCCTCCRAATCCAGATGGTAGTTGGCTTTCGAGATTTGGTACAGATGAATGTTTACAGATACCTGCTTCCATTTAAGAGTAACCCTAACCATTGTGTGAAATGAAGACTACTTTTATTTGTGACTGTGCCAGAAAKGCTTTGCTGTTCTGTAAAATTGTCTACAAATGTTTTTTTAAGTTATTTATATTTTAAATGACCTGCGTAAGTTTGTTTTAGGTTCAAGCTTTTCAACCAGTGAGTTGGAAAAGTAGAAGAAAAATGAGTAAACATGGGAGTGAAAGATTTCTTTCAGGATGGGAGCCAGCACAGCTTCAGGCTTCAGGGTAGCTGCTTGTCTTGTGTTCGTAATACGCCTTGGATTCAGTTTTTAATCCATAAAGGCTTTAAAAGTTATTAAATATTTTTTTCCTCTTGACTGCCAAAGGCAAAGGGGAGTTCAGAAATATTTTTGTATCTAATGAGGGTTGTAGGAAAGTTGCTGTAAAGGAGGATTGTTGTGGAGTTCTAGGCACCAGTATGGATTGTATCATATCAGCAGATGACTTTGCAAAGCTTCCCCAATGTATTCTTGAAATAAAATAAATTATTCTTCTGGTTAATTCTTTCACCAGGATGCACTTTCAGACAGTGTCATCATGAAGTAATTTTTACAGCCTTAATAAATTATGAACATTTCAGAATGTCTGAAACCTCACCTGTTAAATGCTGAGTCGATTTTCTTGAATATACAAATTTGTTTTACTCATTCAAATAAAGTAAAACTGTTAAAAGATTATTTTTTTATACTTTTCCAGAACAGTATATTGTTAATCTGAGGTGACTCGTGACTAAAGAACAGAATGRAAATGAGGCCCGGGGCAACACCAGTGCTCCTGTTCTACATTTACCCTTTATGCCCTTTCTGTTCTATAAAATCATTTAACTGTGACACTCACTCTGACTTTATGTTGAAAACTGCAGTAGTTTTTTTGTAGTCTCTTATCTTGGTATGTGTGGAATTCAGAAATTAATTCTACTGTGCAGACTGACATTCCTAAAGAGATGGGTGTAACCTTTTTAGTTTAAGACAATATGAACTTTTTCTTTAAAAGGGACATATCATTCATCTTTTTTGTGTGCTTGGAGTCTCTAGGAGTTCAAAAAATTTAAATTTAGACTCTCCATGCTCGATGTCTCTATATTCTTTTTGGGTCATATTTTTTAATCTGTCCAGAGACAGGTTAAAAAGAGACAGAGACAGTAGTGCTGTCTCTGTAGTGCAAAGTAGTGCAAAGAGACAGTAGTGCTGGGCATTATGACCAAAATTTTATATCACTGTATTTTCAACATTTACACCAGTTTCACGGTATATCAAGTATTTTTCTTTTCATCACAGGTCAGCTGATAATAAAATGTACWAACACTGCTTATTAACTTTTCTCTTTTACTGTACCTCTGTCTGTGTCGCTGTTTCCCTCCTCTAAACGTCTTTTCTTCTCCTCCTGGTTGGAGACAGTAGTAATGCATTTTGGTCCAGTCGTGAATTCAATTCAGTTTATTGTCATTATACTGAAACAGGGTTGTACAGTGCAACAAAATGCTTTTAAGCAAGATCTCCAGTGCAGTAACAAAGGACATAGTGCAGACAAGACATAACGTGCATAAACATTAGACACAAACATTAAATACACATTAAATAGTGTGTATGATGTGAAGTAGGTGTGGACAATGGACAGTCTATGATTGTTCAGGTTGTGGCTGGAGTGGCTGGGGTCACCAGTTTAACAGCACGGGGAAAGAAGCTGTTCTTGAGTTTGGTGGTTCTGGCTCTGATGATCCTGTTCTTCTTCCAGATGGCAGGGGTTGAAACAGGAAGTGGCTGGGGTGGGTGGGGTCAGAGGAGATACTGACGGCTTTCTTCACACATCTCTTGTTGTAGAGGTCCTGCATGGGGAAAATATTATTTTTGGGTCAATTGTTTTGTGTTATTTAATAAAGATTAAGAGCAAGACTCACCTTGCACACCAGTCAACTCAATTCCACTACAAAACTACTTCCCCCCGGCTTTTCACAATAGAAGCTTGTTAAAGTYTCCATGCGTCTCCACGTCTCCAAATAAGCAGCGGAATCACMACCCGCCGCTGCAACAAACTGCTCAACAATAACATTAGCATGCTAACGCACATAGCATTGCAGCGAGGAAAAGTGTCCCCCGGGAAACAGTTCACTGCTGGCTGTGACGAAACGTTCCGCGCGTGTTCAGGCTATTTAAACCGGTATGTCGGTATTCAGAAAATTCATATCATAACAAAAATTAAAAACGGTATTCAGTACGAACCGGTATACTGCCCAGCACTAAGAGACAGCCTCAAAATGAGTTGATCTGAGACACAGCTCAGAAAAGGGGTGAAAGAGGGCATTGTTGAGTTTCAATAAGGAGGATTTCAGACCAAAGCATTGCGGTTGCACTATATATAGACCTCAACCTAATGATTTAAATGTGAAAAATGATTTAAAAGCAGGATATGTCTTCTTTTGAATAGATGATTACGCTGAACTWTGTTTTATTAATTCCTATTTGAGAGTTTTTACTGCCCTGAATTTAATTATGTCTTAATTATGGCTTTTATTTTTATTCTCAGTTGAGAACGAGAGCCACTGTGACTTTGTAAAACTCCGAGAGATGCTGATCAGAGTGAACATGGAAGACCTGAGGGAGCAGACGCACGCCCGCCACTACGAGCTGTACCGGCGCTGTAAGCTGGAGGAGATGGGCTTCAAAGATACAGACCCCGACAGCCAGCCTTTCAGGTAAGGAGCGCGGACGTGTACAACACGTTCGCTGAGCGCACGAAGAGCCAAAAGGCGCTGAAACCCAAAACCCCAAACCACAATGTTACTCAGCTGTCAACAGTGGATAAAAACCCTTTATTGTTCTAAAACAATACATCTATTTCTGTCTGTCTTCACTCACTCCTTTTTGTCTTCACGTTTTTCTGCCCTGCAGTCTCCAAGAGACATATGAGACCAAGAGAAAAGAGTTTTTAGGAGACCTGCAACGGAAAGAAGAGGAAATGCGACAAATGTTTGTTAACAAAGTAAAAGAAACTGAAGCAGAACTCAAAGAAAAGGAGAAAGAGGTGAGGTGGAATGAGTAAAGGTCCAAAYATTTTCAACTCTAAATGACTGCTGATGTTAACATGTTGTTACTTTTAGAGGAATTTCTTTTTAAAAACTGACTCAAAGCATAATGGGCTTAATGTGAAAGTCATCATTAAAAACAAACAATATCTATGGGTTTATTACACATTTTGAACTACAGAGCAACTGTTACTTCATGTGTTAAGTACATTTTGGCCAGTACTTTTTGTACTTTTACTAAAGTAGTACTTTAGTAAAAGTACAAGTATCTTACCAAAAATTACTTTGGTAAAAGTTAAAGTCTCCTTTAGGAATATTACTTTAGTAAAAGTCTTAAAGTATCTGATA